GTAACCTTAGAGTTTTATATACATTAGTATATTACTATTAGTAACTGTACCTATAAAGTAAAAGGATGTTTTGCTGCCTCTTACAGCAGCTGTAGTCTGAGGAAAAAAACACTTAATTCACTGGGCCGACTGCTGGCGACTTTTAAGGTGGAACGTTGACTTATGTTACTGAATGTGTGAGTTGATGAAGTGAAACAGTCAGCACACCTTAAATTTCTATGTGACAACTTTGACCATTCCTTTAGTTTTTATTGTCTCTCTTGGATGACATACAATTTTAGTAATGAGTGGGTCTTCAAGCGTTTATGCATATTGGTTTCGATGGGATTATGTGAACTGCATTGACTGTACTCTAATCCTCACTTGTAGAAAAAAAAAGCATGGCTGTTCCTGCGGGCTCCGGCAACACTAAACCCCTGAGCTTGCCTTGGAAGAACTACATGCACAAACTCGCTATTTTTAAATATCCCATCGAGAGAGACCCTCAACCCAGCCTGTTCTGTTTTGTTCTGAATATGTTGGCATGCAGCCTCGTTCTGTGGACGATAAACGAAGCGCAGACAGATAAAGGAGGAAATACAGTGAGTGTTTGACTGAGTAGTGAGTGACAACAACTCGGCCCAAATGAGAGAGTACAAGTTGCGGTGGAAACACTAGGTGGACCAAGGGTCTAGGTAACTTGTCTGAAGGGTTACATTGGTTCCATACCGAAAGTGCTTGCTGGAAACGGGGCCTTAGTAGGCTGCTATTGGAAAACAATGAAAATCACCTAACTGGTATTGAGAGTTTAAAATCTGAGCAGCTGTTTAAGTAACTGTTGGTCTGACTGGGATTGGTCAGCAACACCTGTGAAAGTGTCATCAATTAATGTAATGCCTTACTCATTGACTACTCTCCCACTAGCTCATGTTGTTTGTGGCATTGTTGTATAGGTATTTTCAATTTTTTTTATTTTATTTTTTTAAATAATGGGTTTTGATGTGTTAGCTTTATATTTATAGTTGTAAGAGTGAGTGACTAAGCCATCCTCAAAGCCTGAAGCTCAAAGGTAAAAATGGAGACTTGTCGTCTTGGGATCCAGCACTTTGTAACCTAATAACAAATGCTGGCTAGGGGTATTAAGTAGGTGGGGCAATGGCCCCTTCCCTACTTTCTACCCCTCTCCCTCCAGCACCCTTACTCTGACCTCACCCATTTTCAAACTCAGCCTTCATTTTGATCTCATCTACATACCTGTTAAGTTTAGCGAGTGTATCTTGCACATTTGTGATGTTATCACGATAACAAAGATCTGTTGACAGGCAGACATACAGCTGCCAAGTAGACAAAACCACTTCTGTGGTAGTTCTTTTTACAATAGGTATCACCAGGACCGCATTTTGCCACAATGACACACATACACACAGATTCACAAGGTGAAAAAAAATACCAGATGATGTCCTGGGTGGTAAAAAAAAGAAAAACAGCAAAGGGATGGACATTTGTTGTTTTGACAGCACTGACATAGTGTTTATACTGTCTGTATAGCAAAACAGCACAATAGCAGAGCAGCAGTTTCAGTGCATCCTATGTGTTGACAGACGGTGCATTTGGGCACAGTATTGAGTGTAATTTACATGTGTTTTGGCAGCACTAGTGCCCAACACACAATCATGATGTAGTTCTACGCTTATAGCGTGAATGAAATACAAAAAATTGTATGGACTGAAATAAAAGTGCATCTGTTCCATGAGTTGGATGACTGAAAACATGGCGGAAATGTTGTTTTGTGTTGCCTCAAGACTTGATATCAGGGCTAGGGCTCCAACAAATAATCGATTAGTTAACAATATTAAATAAATCGCCATCTAGTTTGATAATCGGTTTAAGTATTTTTTTAAGAAAAAAAAAAACCTTCTTAGATGTAAATATTTTCTGGTTTATCCACTCCTCTATCCACTCCACCTCTTGTGGACAAAACAAGACATTGCAGGCTTCATCTGAAAACCTGATCAACATTTTTTTTTTTATCATTTTCTGACATTTTATAGACCATACAACTAATTGATTTATTATGAAAATAATCAACAGATTAATCAACAATGAAAATCATTACTTGCAGTATGTTACTTCTTTATACAATAATGAGGAAAATAAAAAATTAAAGCATAAGACAGTGAACACAACAGAATTGCAATCAAGCAATTTATATAATAATAGGCTCCTAAGCTATTAAAAGGGAACAAAACCTAAATTAAGAATTTCAATATAATATGTCCATGGCCGAGGAAAGTTCAACCAATATTTGTGAACATGAGCTACTCTCTCTCAAAGTCAGAAACCAGAGAACAAGTCTCAAACTTGTGATGTCATAGGATATAAAGCCTGGGGCTGCTCCAAAGACAATGGATGAGAGACTGATTTGAAGACCCACAGAATTATTATTATTATTTTTATTATTCTCAAATGGGCTTTACTGTATTGTAGTGTTCTCAGGTCTGAAACAGAAAATGAGCCCATATACTCAGAACATTCCCCTGGGTGCTCTCAGTGTCATCTAGAACATCCTTTGTGATTTCTAAATTTCTTGAAAGTTTTCTGGGAAAAAGAATAATGTCCTGTAACTGAAATTACTCCATTTAGACCTTGATAAATGTTTATTCATCATTCCATCATTACTGGAAACTTCATATTTGATTACATTTTGCACATTTTGAACATCCAGTTCACCTGCTATCCTCTTGACTAAAAGTCTCAAAGTTCCACAAGGTTACCAACTCATGACTCACTATTTTACCCATAATTAGTTCTAATTTATGGAGCAGCTCCAGACTCTATGACATCTGTACCCTATGACATCACACATTTGAGTGTAAGCACTCTAGTTTTTGAATTTGGAAGAAGGTTGTTCATTTTAACAAATATTTTTGGACTGTCTTAGACCACAGGAATAACATGGACGAACTTCAAAAATGTGTGTAGTTCCCCTTTAACCTCATGTGCAGTGCTTGGGTAGGTCAGTTTTGTACTGAGTTGAATGTGACAACTTGAACTAAAGTCAGACTGAGGTGATCCTAATCAGCAAAGTTATTCCTGATTTCAACCTCTAATTCACATCTCTGGTTATTTTTAGGTCAGCAAATCTCCATGCCCAGAGCGTGTACCAGCATATACAAACTAGTACACTGCTGATGGTCTCTTTTTTAAAATTAGATTTCCATTTAATTTCATTCTATTTCAGTGTGTGCAGGCTTTATAAAAGACTGTTACTGCATAGTGCTAAAAAAGTTCAAATGGAAATTGTGGGTGTGTGTGAGTGTAAAGAATTGTCTCTCTAAGTCGTGTATTTATGTCTAGTCCTGTTTTGACAGATACTGAAAGTGTTGTTCTGGGGTTAAAATCTTGCACAAAGCACCCATAAACTATTCTGCACTTTTAAACTGGAATCTTGCTTGTTTATGTATTCTCATTCCATAAACATTTTATAATGCTCAAAAGCGCAATATACTGTCCACTGATACTGTTTGACCATAAACTGAAAAAAATTCTATTCCAAATTGAGACATATCAGACTGCAATCAATTCAAACCATGAGGAATTCCCTCGTAGGAGGATCTAACTTTCTTACTGAGTTTCTCAGTGTACCAGTGCTGTAGATTTATCCAAGTGAATAATGTAATATAGACAGTGTCGCTGTGTCTCTGTCAAACCTACCCCAGTCTTATGTCAGTGTAGATCTGGGTCACTACCCCCAAGTGTTTCCTACTGCGTTCATTAAACATTAACTGTGTCTAAGTATATTTCTATGTCTCTGCCTCTTGAAACCACAGATGAGTTCCACTTGGAGGGGAAATGAGATACATGTCAATTGATATATATCGCCTGGTGTGAAGGATGGAGTTTCTTTTGCTCATTTTGAATGTTTGAGCCGATTCTGAACAGACTAAAGAAACTGTCCTTCTTTAGTAGGCTGGTATGGATACTGCTGCTCTATAACCTACCATAGAACTGACCAGAGGTCTAGATAACCAAATATCTTCTATCACTGACTGATATTCTTTTTGTTTACAATAGCTAAAAACTCTGAGGGCGTCCATCATTTTGATGGAGTAGAGCATTGAGAGCAATCTACCATAACTTTAAGTAATTCTTTTATCTCATATACATGACCTTGTTGCTTAGCTGGCTTTAGCCGAAGAGGTTACTTTTGGATTACCTCTTTGCTTTAGCCATCAGGTTGGTAGGCTATCACTACATACCTTGCAAAATATCACAGCAGCTGAGTTTCTGAAATTTCTTTTAAAAGCCCAATAATTATTATGGCATTGATGAATGAGGTGAAAATGTAGTGCTGGTCAGTCTAACATCTGCAGTGAGCACAAGCTAAAACAGCAGCAATGACTAACACATTATGGTCCCAACAAACTCGCACCAACACCATCAAGGTTCAACTGTGTTTGTGGGTAGACACTCAAAAACTGTCCCTGGTGCAGAGCTCACACTCCTGCATCAGTCCCATGATGAACAGAGTGAGAGCAGGGCAAAGACAGCCTGAGTGAATCAGTACACTGTATGCAGCTTTACAATGAAATAAGGGTTTTATGTATTTTAAATAGTAAAAAATTAGTTAAGTAATGTTCGACAATACCTCCACAGCCAAAGCATTAAACATTCGCTGTTGATTACTAACATTACTGAAGCTCCAGAGCCCCAAAAAACAGAAACAAAGAGAGACCGATGAGAGTGAAGATGAAGGTCAAGCAGGTAATAAGCTAATAATGATGTTTATCAGCATGCGGCAGGTAAAATTAAAATGAGGAGTAATTTAAGATAATGATGGAATTTTTACAATCCTGTCTGTCAAAATGACAGACAACAAGAAAGTCTAATGTAACCTCTGGTATTGACAGTAATAACTGGAAAGCTTTACTCAGAAATTTAGCATCAATGGTGTAAAGGGGAAGAAGAGAATATCATATATGGATGTAATATAAGGAAAAGGATAAAAGTTGGTATCTCACCGAGGTTACATATTGTATGTCCCGGCACAGTTTTGTCTCCCGGGGAAAGTCGGCCAGATCCAGGAAGTTGTCCACCACCACTTGGCCAATCAAGTCATGGCGAGAGAACCTGTCAAAGTCGTAGACGCTGAAGTGCAGCTTACGGCTCGTCAGCTCGGCGTACGCCACAGGAAAGAGAAACACCTCATCGAACACTGGGTTAAGTGTCTTGCGGTGCACCTTGGTCTGGTGCTTGGTTTTGCGGTCGGGCAGCAGATAGATCTTGACGTAAGGATCGGAGGTCCCTGAGAAGTCCTTGGCGGGAAGGTCCTGGGCCTTGTGGATCTTCACGATCAGCTGCTCCAGGTCAAAGTCAAACTTCAGGACAAAGAGGAGACGCCCACAGCTGTCAGTGCGACGACCATCTTCTGCGTCCACCGAGCGCTGCTTGTAGAGTTCTGGTTTGATTCGGCCCAAACCAGAAAGAGACTCTTGGCGCTGAAACTGAGCTGGGTTGAAGTCCGGATTGGACAAGTTCATCTGACGACGGATGGAGTTGTGCCTGTAACAAATTGAAAAAGTTGGACAAATAAGATCAGTCAAACCATTTTGATTGACATATTCTTTGTTAAACCTTTGTTTCTGCAAGGTAACTGCTGAAGCCACTGTGTTCCCATTAGCCTGATGTTTTTCAAGGGTTTATCTGCAAATTGCATTATTGTGCACTCAAGAAAATATCAGTCAATCTGTTGTAAGTTTCTTAATTTTAGGAATTAAAAACAACTTTGTGAAAGAAGTATCTCTGAACCCAGAGGTCTAGATCTCTGTGTGACTGTGTGTGTACAACTGTGTTTAATCTGCTAGCACCAAAAGTTGGATAGTAGCTTTGGGGGACTGATGTGTACCGACCGTACAGACGACGTAGGCTCCGTAATCTGTCTCTGGACCCTGTCCCTCGCCAGAGTGTGGACCTGGTTTTTCTCCACCTTGGTCTGGGTCTCCAGGGGAATGTCAGGCGATGTGTGGCTTATCTTTAAGCCTGTCTCTGGGACAGCCACTGCCGAGGGGGGTCCTGAGGGCTCCTTCACACAGCCATCTTCGCTGTACTCTCTGTCCTCCCCGTCCACCTGCACAGCAGACATCAGTGTTTACACTGTAAAACATCCTGTAGAAATGTTACCTTGGGATGGGGAAATTGAACCTTGAACCTGAAGAGTTGTAAGAAGAAAGTTTATTTGGAATGATTTATTAATGATATTTGGAAAGTGTCTAATATTTTAAAACTGGTGGCTTTTGCAGATGACACAAATATTTTATGTTTGGGGGAGGATTTGCAGCAGCTATTATTGGTGGTCAAAAGTGAATTGCAAAACATAAAGTGTTGGTTTGATGTAAACAAATTATCGTTAAACCTGAACAAAACTAAGTTTATGATATTTGGAAATCGTCAAATTAAGCAAGAGTACATTTGGAAATTGAAAATGTTGAAATCGAAAGAGTTTACGAAATTAGGTTTCTTGGTGTTTTAATTGATCATAAGCTCTGCTGGAAACCTCACATCAAATATTTGTGCTCCAAAGTATCCAGAAGCATTGGAATACTGGGTAAAATTAAACACATTTTAGATCTGAAATCACTTCAAATTCTGTACTATGCACTTATTGATCCATATCTGTCCTACTGTGTTGAGGTATGGGGAAATGCATACAAAAGCACTTTACAAAAGATTTGCACTTTACAAAAAAGAGTCATAAGGATGGTTCATCATGCTGGGTACCTTGATCATACTAATCCTTTGTTTTTAAAATCGGGTATTTTAAAATTCAGGGACCTAGTTAAATTCAAAACTGTTCAAATTTTGTTTAAAGCCTGTAATAAATTGTTACCACAATTTAAGAAGGAATCACAATTTTTAAACATCCTACCATCCATTCGACTCTGAAAAGTATGTGCATCTCTGTCTGTGGTGTAAAACTGTGGAATAAACTAGATGAGGACACAAAAATGTGCATTAACTTAAAACAATTTAAACACAACTACAAACAATCACTTTTGGTCAGCTATAAAGAACTGGACTGCTAATTTTGTACCTTATACTTTTTTAGAAAGGATTTTATTTAGCCTTGTATGTTTATAAGCAGGGCTCTATTTCATATTAAAGATTAAATGTTTTAAATTTTTAAGATTCTACAGATTTATCAATTATGTATGTGCTTATATGACAATGTAAGGGGGGCTGAAAATGATAAGCTCTGCTTCCTTCAGCCTCTTCTCGAACTTGCACGTTATCACGGTGTGCCTTTTTTTTTTATCACATTTACTGCCTGTTTTATGCTTGTGCTTGTTTGAGACAAATAAAAATCAAATCAAATCAAATTTCAATAAAGCCTGCTGCTTCTATGATAGTTAGAGCAATGCAAATGTGCAGTAGTTCACATAAAAAGTGGCAACAATTAGCAGTTTACCAAAGGATTGCTCCTTTTTTTGGGTGGACTGGTGATCTGCTGGACTGAACCAGTGGTGCTGGAAATGGCTAACATTGTGGTAATATGTAAGTATGTCCCATGAAGCTACTATACTACAGCTACAAGTAAAGATGAAGAAGTTTAACAAAGCTGAACCTCAAAGTAACACAGTGGGTCACATTCCTATTGATAACACAAGTATTAGACCCAATTCAAGTGGTACGTTTTTATAAATAGCGTGGAATAGTAGCTTGATGTGTCTGCTTCTCTAACAATAAGATACAATTACAATACAAGATACAACAGCCTCCTTTTAATGGGTTCTTAATCGGCTACTCAGCCACATTTCCACCGTTTTATCAGTTTTACGGGCTCTGTCTACTGCGGTCTTTCTATATCAGTTTACTTCTATTTGACCAAAGCGTGGTCCGAGGGCTAATGGTGGACCTCAATTTATACACTACTCAGCTACTGCGTCAAACTGCACCCTTCTAACAAGGATCTATCAGGTAAGAGATGACAACTAATAGAAAGTTGCTGCAACTAGTGGCACCTTATGAGTGTCGCTGTAATTGCATTCGGTCTTAAATGCTAGTGCTGTTAAAATTAGCTATTTCATGGACAACTCACTAAGATGGAAAAATGTTGTATGGTTGAGGAGAAAAGGAGGTTTCAGGAAATTAACTCTTACTTCATCAGACCTACTGATAAGTGATCTGCCTTATCTGCAAACAGGCATATTCAGTGCTCAAGGAATTTAATGTTAAACACCATTATGAGACAAATTACAAATCCTACACCAGTTCATGGGTGAAGAGTGCAAACATGAGGTTGAACAGAGACTTATCTGCCCAGCAGTTAGTAGTGAAGATGTAGCACAGGCAGGTTGTTCATGAAATTGCTGAGCATGGTTAGCAGTTCAGTGATGGAGAGTTACTGCAGCCCTCAGTGATATGCTGACTCCCTAAATTGGCACTCAGTCATTAAAATTTTGAGCACCCCTGATGGAGATGGGATCAGGAGAAAGCAGGTGTTGAATTAGAGTGTACTGCATGGCTGGGACGACACGCTTTGGAAAGAAAGCATTTTTAACAGCATTTGCAGTATGCCCAGTTTACATTTGGAAATAAGTCACATAGCAAAATAACTGTTGCTCCCAGTACCAGTACTTTAACTTTTGAATGTAAGCCTTTCCCCCTTACTTCTGTGAGGACAGGCTGTTGGTCTCCTCCCAAGAAGTGGGCCCCCTTGAGGACATCTGGGAGGAAGCGGCCACTCAGTGGCACCCAGCACAACTTCCATGAGACAAAGAGGGAGACGCTGAAGAGAGCCAAACCACAGGTGGTCACCAGCAGGGACAACAGGCTTACCGATACATCTAGAGATGGAAGAGAGAGAGAGAGAGGGATGGGGGGGGACTCAGTGAACAGTGAACACAGATTTGCCGGTAAAAAACGCTGGCACAGACAAAACTGGCTCCCCAGGGAGGACAGACTGTGTTTATTCAGAATGCTTAATGAGAAGGAATTAGAATTACCGCCGCATGGTTGTATGTCTCTGCTAACCAGTCAACTTGCTGTTTACATCCATTTCTATCTAGACCAGCGGTCAGCAACCTTTTTGATGGAGTGTCATTTTAAATTTTCCTGTTAATCAGTGTGCCATATTATTATTATGTCAATACCTCGCTCCACAAAACTTGTGGTCATGTCCTGTGTCATGACCTTTAAGTGTTTTAGGCACTGGATTTAGTACGCAGCGTTCACACGCTCATCAAGTGCAATGCTAAAGTTGCAAATTTTCAGTGTGTGTGCGTGTGTGTGTGTGTGTGCATTCCTTTGTAATATTCTGTGTTGTCTCTCTTAAGTCAGAAGTTTTTGTGGGTCCGTGAAACATTGCAAAACTCTTCTTTTTTTTCCCTGGCCAGTAGAGTTTGGTTCACAGGGTGGATAACCGATCAGTGATTCAGAGAGATCAGATCAAATAGATGGATGAGAGGAGCAGCTGTGTATGAGTGAAACCGAACTCCAACACAATTAACAGTAAAGTTTCACTTTCTGCTGCTCTGTTTGTGACCAGAGTACATGTACTATGAATGACCAAATGGTAGGCTTTACATACAGCGCTCCTCATGAATGGTCAAGCTCTAAAAGTAGAAAGTCAGTACATGGCGGTAGATGATATCATCACAGGTTGCCACAAATAAATGGGTGTAGGAAACCTGCACTTATACATTTCATGAAGCTCTCTTGCATATTTATTGCTAGCGTGCCATTAGATAATCTACGGCATGCTAATAGTGGCACCATATCTGGTGGTCTAGACTCATATAATATGTATAATGAAGACTTTCAAGGAACCATTTCCAGTGCGAAACATGCTGTCTTCACTTTGAGTTTTTTTTTTTTTTTTTACAAAGGAGTACAGAGAGAGAGCTTCTTCACATGGTGCAGTGACGATAATCTGAAGCTTAATATCAGCAAAACCAGTGATCTTGTAGTGGACTACCAGAGGAACAGGACAGCACACAAATTTGTAGCCATGACAGTAGACAGTACTTCATATATAAGTGTTGCTGCTAAGTGGCTACCAATTCTAAAATATGGATGCTTTACACACATCTTTAAACCAGCAGCTCAGAAGATTTATACAGTACAGGCCAAAAGTTTGGACACACCTTCTCATTCAATGCGTTTTCTTTATTTTCATGACTATTTACATTGTAGATTCTCACTGAAGGCATCAAAACTATGAATGAACACATGTGGAGTTATGTACTTAACAAAAAAAGGTGAAATAACTGAAAACATGTTTTATATTCTAGTTTCTTCAAAATAGCCACCCTTTGCTCTGATTACTGCTTTGCACACTCTTGGCATTCTCTCCATGAGCTTCAAGAGGTAGTCACCTGAAATGGTTTCCACTTCACAGGTGTGCTTTATCAGGGTTAATTAGTGGAATTTCTTGCTTTATCAATGGGGTTGGGACCATCAGTTGTGTTGTGCAGAAGTCAGGTTAATACACAGCCGACAGCCCTATTGGACAACTGTTAAAATTCATATTATGGCAAGAACCAATCAGCTAACTAAAGAAAAACCAGTGGCCATCATTACTTTAAGAAATGAAGGTCAGTCAGTCCGGAAAATTGCAAAAACTTTAAATGTGTCCCCAAGTGGAGTCGCAAAAACCATCAAGAGCTACAACCAAACTGGCACACATGAGGACCAACCCAGGAAAGGAAGACCAAGAGTCACCTCTGCTTCTGAGGATAAGTTCATCCAAGTCACCAGCCTCAGAAATGGCAAGTTAACAGCAGCTCAGATCAGAGACCAGATGAATGCCACACAGAGTTCTAGCAGCAGACCCATCTCTAGAACAACTGTTAAGAGGAGACTGCGCGAATCAGGCCTTCATGGTCAAATAGCTGCTAGGAAACCACTGCTAAGGAGAGGCAACAAGCAGAAGAGATTTGTTTGGGCCAAGAAACACAAGGAATGGACATTAGACCAGTGGAAATCTGTGCTTTGGTCTGATGAGTCCAAATTTGAGATCTTTGGTTCCAACCGCCGTGTCTTTGTGAGACGCAGAAAAGGTGAACGGATGGATTCCACATGCCTGGTTCCCACTGTGAAGCATGGAGGAGGAGGTGTGATGGTGTGGGGGTGTTTTGCTGGTGACACTGTTGGGGATTTATTCAAAATTGAAGGCACACTGAACCAGCATGGCTACCACAGCATCCTGCAGCGACATGCCATCCCATCCGGTTTGCGTTTAGTTGGACGATCATTTATTTTTCAACAGGATAATGACCCCAAACACACCTCCAGGCTGTGTAAGGGCTATTTGACCAAGAAGGAGAGTGATGGAGTGCTGCGGCAGATGACCTGGCCTCCACAGTCACCGGACCTGAACCCAATCCAGATGGTTTGGGGTGAGCTGGACCGCAGAGTGAAGGCAAAGGGGCCAACAAGTGCTAAACACCTCTGGGAACTCCTTCAAGACTGTTGGAAAACCATTTCAGGTGACTACCTCTTGAAGCTCATGGAGAGAATGCCAAGAGTGTGCAAAGCAGTAATCAGAGCAAAGGGTGGCTATTTTGAAGAAACTAGAATATAAAACATGTTTTCAGTTATTTCACCTTTTTTTGTTAAGTACATAACTCCACATGTGTTCATTCATAGTTTTGATGCCTTCAGTGAGAATCTACAATGTAAATAGTCATGAAAATAAAGAAAACGCATTGAATGAGAAGGTGTGTCCAAACTTTTGGCCTGTACTGTACATTGAGCACAGTTTCAAGGTGGACACCCAAGATTAGCGTCACCAATTCAGTGTCTGACCAAATGTCTCCCCTTCTGTTCCTGAGTTATTGCACTGAATAGAAAAGTGTTTCATAGATAATTATGATGTCACAGTTAAGTTGACCTTTGACCTTTGGGATATAAAATGTCATCACTTCATCATTTTATCCTATTAGTCATTTGAGTGAAATGTTCTCATAATTAGCGTATGAATTCTTAAGTTACGGCCAAAAACCATGTTTCGTGAAGTCACAGCATAGGCGTAATTTATGGGAGGTTGTAACCCACCCAATAATCCAAACCAGCCACCACAAACCCCCAAATTAAATATCATAATTATTGATAATGAATGTTAAGTATTATAAACACGACAATGTGGTAGATTTTCTCAATTTGGCAGTAAAAAATAGTGACGTTTGTCTGCGCCCCTGCTCCCGCTCTGAGATTTGGTTTCGCCCACCTCAGACCTGTGTGTCCCTCCAGTCTCTCCCCGTGTATGTATTGTAACGTCCCTCAATAACCACACGTCGAGACGTTAGCCGGTTTAGCTGGCGATTTATTTCTGGTTGTCACACAGGCTACCGTGGGCCGTAGCCACGCCAAAAACAACAAAAGCCTAACAGAAAAGTTCACTATCCACACGAATGCCGCCGTCCTGTTTTTCCGAGAGAAACACACACCTACCCGCTCGCTGCAGCCGCGTCTCACTCACGAGACGCGTTCGCAGACACTCAGGAAAACCAGCCCTTAACTTAACATTTCACTAACACACGGAAGTATCAGTACTTGACTGCAAAAACTCAAAATCTTACCATGAATATTTGTCTTATTTCTAGTCAAAATGTCTCATTTCTAGTCAAAACAAATCTCATTACACTTAAAATAAGACTCATCACCAAAAAAGTAACTTGTTTTTAGACAATTTTCACATGTTTCAACAAGTTTTCACTTGGAATAAGTAGAAAAAATTTTTTTAAGTTTTTTTGCTTGTAATAAGAAAAAAAACACTTAATCAATGGACAAATTTTTCTTACAGTTACAGTATGAAGCATCCATGGTGGTATGAAGAGGGTCGAAGGGAAAAAGAAAGCCCAACCAACAATTTTAAGTTGTAGGTTGGGCAAAATAATGAAAATGTCTTCCCAACAGGAGATACGCTACTGCTAGGGCTCCAGCGCCACCACTGAAAGTTAGTCCTACTTTCTGCTGTGTTGTGTGTGTCTTAGCTGTTTGTTAGCTAGTTTGCTATCGTTCGTCTTTTTCGCCATACATATATATATATAGATATATATATATAGATATATATATATAGATATATGATTTTCTCATGCGGGGCATATCCTCAGACCTACTTCACAGGCGAAAATCTCAACCCTTCCCAATGTTCAACTCAAAGTTACACCCTTAGGTCACAGTGACCTTTGACCACCAACATTGTAAAAAATTTCATCCTTGAGTCCAAGAGGACGTTTGTGCCAGATGTAACAAAATTCCCTTAAGGCATTAATGAGCATGGGATGATGTAGTATCTGACGTGCCACATGTTATGTGATGACTGGGGTCTTATATGATCAGTTAGGGGCCCAGGTCAAGATTTTATTATGGCTCAGGTCAAGGATAGATAAGAAAGATGAAAGGTTGGATTCCAGCTAGATTGTCTCTTTGTCACTTGTCACATTTTGTTTCAAAGTTCATCAAAACAACCGACCTATATATGCAGGGTAAACTGAGCCGTTATTCAGAGTAGTTCATATTTGGCTTCGAACTCTCTCTCAGGCTTCCTAGGCGCTTGATTTGATGCTGTACTTCTTGTAATAAACCTTTCTATATACAAGCAAGACGGTGTCAGCGGAGTGTCCTTCATCATCTTCACATCATCGCTATTCAATAAACAACAATGGACAAGCAGATGGTTGGACCACCTGAAAACATAATGCCTTCGGCCACGTCTGGCCCTGGCACAGAGGCTTAAAGACAAAAGTTGATGGAAAAAATGTTTTTATTTGATTTATTTGATGCATCTGACCCAGTATGTTTATGCCATACGTGCCAGCGATTATGTTAGGCATTGTGTTTT